GAATACAACGCTATTATGTCATGACCGTGACGCAGCTTCAAAAATTCGTTTCAAACCAGAAGTACGAATTTGCTTGAAATAACGCAAAAACAACCAATTTACACTTTTAGGTGAAATATAGGTGTCCTAAAAGTGTTTTTAGCAGTGTGGGACACATATACGACTGTCAACAGCTCAAAACATGTGTTTTGGTGTTTCGTGACCCTTTAAAGCATAAGGTATGTGAGGTATGTATATTTCAGTATCGATCCGCACATCACTAACAGAGTCTGACAAAAGTGAACCATGAGCAGAACTGAGAGTGAATAGGAGAAGGAACGTGTGCTGGCGGGGAGCTGGAGAACGCTTAAAGGCTCTTCAGCAGCCTGTTGACCTGGAAAGACGAGCAGCTCCACATCACACAGACAGACTGTGGAGAGCCAACAGGACCGCTCCGGATAATTTTATCACTGTCCTAGTTCTCCACGCACTTCCCAGAGAGACGAATGACCCAGCTCATCCCGCACTGGTGAGGTGGCTCTAGGATTACATTAACCCTTCATTCACCACACACACACACACATGCACACACACATGCACACACTCACAGATCTGACTGATGCGAAGCGCAAACCCGAGACTAATATAGATCTGCCTTTTTAAATTGGCTGTAAATTTCAGTTTCGTTTCAGATTTATGTCATCATTTAAGTTTTATTTTTTGAACACACGTCTATTTGTTTATATTTTTAGTGCAAGTTTCAGTCATTCTAGTTTAGAAGAGTTTACCCTTGTTCAAATGTACTACACTTTCTTTATGTTGGGGGCTGTTTTTACCCCGTTGACTTCCATTATAATGACATTTTATGATTACAAAGCCATTACACCATATAAGCGTGCATTCTTGATTGTTGCTGCTTTTCCAGCAGCAACCCAGCACTGGGAAAGACCCATACACATGACATGGTGGCTCAGTGGTTATTACTGTTGCCTCACAGCAAGAGGGTCGCAGGTTCTAGTCACGGCTGGGCCAGTTAGTGTTTCTGTGTGGAGTTTGCATGTTTCCCCCTGGTTTCCCCCACAGTCTGAACACATGTGCTATAGGTGAAGTTGGTCGTAGTGGCGAGGCAGTGGCGCAGTAGGTAGTGCTGTCGACTCACAGCAAGAAGGTCGCTGGGTCGCTGGTTCGAGCCTCGGCTCAGTTGGCGTTTCAGTGTGGAGTTTGCATGTTCTCCCTGCGTTCGCGTGGGTTTCCTCAGGTGCTCTGGTTTAGAGGTCTGCATTCCCGCGGCTGTCCCGCGGGCGCCGTGGGACCCGACCAGATTTCTACGGCGCGGGTATAAATTTCCGAATAAATCACGGGAGCGGTCGGTAACGGGTTTAATTTGGGACGGGAGCGGGCTGTCTAGCACTATCGCTCCCAACTCCCGAGTGAGCACGCGTATGTATGTGTGTAAATGAAATAGCGCGATGCTGTGTTTAGCTTGTTTGTTGCAGTGTGTGTGTGTGTGTATGTATGCACACGCGCGAATGAGAGGTGTGTGTGTGTGTGTGTGTGTGTGTGTGTGTGTGTGTGTGTGTGTGTGTGTGTGTGTGTGTGTGTGTGTGTGTGTGTGTGTGTGTGTGTGCGCGCCAATGAGAGATAGGGAGCTTTGCCTCATTGCCTGTGTTTGTGCTTGGTGCTTATAAGTGTGTTATAGAGGGCGCGCGCGCGAATGAGAGAGAAAGCTTTGTCTATGTGTGTGTGCTTGGTGCTGTGCGTGTGTGTTTATACAGACAGCTTGTTATAGGCTGTCTGGACTGTATAACTGGGTGATTTTTCGGTTTTGTTCTCCCCCCGCTCTTTAGCGGGATCGGGCGCGGCGGATAGAAAATGGGGCGGGTCGGGCAGCGGGACATCAAGTGCTTAATATAAGCGGGAGCGGTCGGGTTCCGGCTAAAACCTGGCAGGTGCGGGCGGGAGCGGGATTTAAAATTTAGTCCCGCGCAGATCTCTACTCCGGTTTCCCACACAGTCCAAAGACATGCAGTACAGGTGAATTGGGTAGGCTAAATTGTCCGTAGTATGAGTGCATGGGTATTTCCCAGTACTGGGTTGCCGGCGAAAGGGAATCTGCTGCGTAAAACATATGCCAAAATAGTTGGTGGTTTATTACGCTCTGTCAACCTCTCAAACAGAGACAAAGCTGAAGGAAAAAGAATGAATGAATGCATGTTTTTACCAAAACTAATATTGGATTTTTTTTTTTTAATTGTGCGTGTAAAACAATATCATTTGCACAAAATGATGGATTGAGATTTGATAAACAGATTAATGCAGTAGTTAAATGCTGCTTTATTCAGTTTTGACTCTTAAAAACTCTTACAATATCTTTGGAAAAAATAATTCATGCTTTCATTACTTCTAGAATGAACTACTAGTTCTGCTGCAAGGCTTTTAACTGGTACCAAAAAATATGACCACATCACACCATTCTTACGCTCTTTGCACTGGTTGCACTATCGAGTCACTTTAAAATTCTGCTCATTTTAAATCACTAAATGGCTTGGCTCCTTCTTATCTGTCAAACATGTTGACTGAGCATCAGCCTGGGGTGCGTTTCCCAAACAACGACGTAACTCACGGCTGAACTATCATAGTACGATGCATCGATTGGGAGGAGAACGATGTAGTGAGGAGTGTTTCCCAAAACCCCTAGTTTCTCTGTCGCAGATCCATCGCTTGACCACGTTAGTTATAATGTAAAACGCCTATAATCATGCTCTAAACGGGGCGGAGCAACTACTTCTTTAGAGAAGAACCCCATAACTTCTTTGTGCAAATTATATTGTTTTACACACGCATTTAAAATAAAATCCAATATTAGATTTGCTAAAAACATGCACTCGCTTTCCATATTAACTGAAATGTAAATGGCACATATAGGGCCTGTGTTTGCTTTACAAATATTATTAAGAATATGACATATCCTATTCTAAAACGTAAAATCACTTACAGAAGCTAACACGTATTCTAATATCATATATAAATAATAGAAATAAACAAATAATGAAGCTATTTATTATAAAATGAAATTTAATATTTATTATCTATTAGAATATATAATCATATCATCATATATTAATGATGATGATTATTATTATTAAGTATGATATTGTTTTTATTTTTTCGAAAAGTCTACTTTTTCAATTTGACACATGTGAACCACTGCAGAAAGTTCTAACCAGCAGGCCCATGTCATATACAGTACAGATACTTCATGAATAACCTACTATAAATTAAAATAATTAACGTACGCTTTTTGTTTTCACAAGCTTTGGAGACATAACATAAATTCCGCTTTTTTTAAATAACATGTCACCTACAGCTTTCGCCATGAGGCTGTGTTCAAAATGACATCAACATTTTTAAAGTGCACTGCGAAGGGAGCACAATTGTAAACAATAAGATTGCTAAAACTGAACTGTAAAATTAGTTTGACACCTAAGAGAGACGACCTTAATGCTTTTTTATTTTTAATCATTCCAACTTTGAATGTTAGAATGTTCTAAATGAATATGGCATAGGGGAGATAAGTGGGAATAGAACACAGCCAGGAACTATGTTTCTAACGGCAGCTCCAGAGCTGTAGTTGCGAGTGCTCAAGTTTGCGACGCAGTTTGCGAACGTTCGTTGGAGCGACAGATTTCTAAAAGGCAAATCAACAAACTATGTTTGTTACGACAGAACTTGTTACCTTAGTTGGCTAATGATGGTTTTGGGAAACGCACCCCGGGTTGGTCTCTTCAGTCAACTAACCAGAGACTGTTATACATGCCAAAGTCGAGGCTGAAATGCAGGGGTGACCGTGCTTTTGCAGTAGCAGTTCCTACCTTGTGGATTGCTCTGCCCCCCTGTATCAGGTCTATATCATCTGTGTTTGTTTTTAAATCTAGGTTGAAATCTTACCTTTTTTATTTGCCATTTTATCAGCGAGAGTAGTTTGTTTTAGCTAGAATAATTATCTGAGAATTATTTGTTTTAGCTAAAATTGTGAAAGTTGTGATATGTATTCTGGAGCACACTGGTCAACCTTTAGTTGTGTTTATAGACATTGGCAAATAAAAAATATGAGGATTTTCTGTAAAGAAGTTGACACTGTTTGAACCAACGATTTGGATGTTTATGCTATAAATAATGTAGTTCAAGCGATGGATCTGCGATGGATCTAAATCCAACTTGACCAGCCTGGTTTAAGCTGGATATAGCTGATTTTGGCTGTGCTCCCAGCCTGGCTAGGCTGGTCAAGCTGGTTTTAGCTGGTCATCTCCCAGCCTGACCAGCTAAGACCAGGCTGGAAATGGCTGGAAACCAGCCTGGAAGTGGCCAAAACCCCTCTAAAACCAGGCTGGTCGACCAGCTAAAACCAGCACACCAGCCTAGGCTGGTTTAAGCTGTTTTTTTTCAGAAGGGACATGTTTTTATCAAAGTTGCAATAATTCTCTGTTCACAGAATTTGTAATGTCAAATGTGTAAACATTCAGTTTACAGTTGGCACTTTTGCCTTTGGACGTCTCTGGGACAGAATAAGCTGCATGAATGCTAAAGTGCTAAATGCTAAAAGTGAAACCATCTACAAAAGCTTGACCCCTTCTATATAAACAAACACAGCGCAGCTGTTTAGAGCTAGTTTCTAGTTAATGACGTCAGAATTTACCGCTATTTTGGAATGGAAGTGTGAACGGTCCTTTCTGGAAAAAAGTAGTTTTGGAAATTTTACAGATATTTACCGGTATCACTGAGTGAAAGGGGCTATCACAACGACAGTTTTGGGAAACACTCGTCACTACATCGTTCTTTCCCAAACGATGCATTGCATTATGATAGTTCAGTTACGAGTTACGTCTTTGTTTGGAAAACACACCCCAGATTGTCTCTTTTCTGTTCACATGCACTGTGGATTTGCGAGAGAATAACAAGGTGTGGCATGAGACTATGAGACCCCTGATTTTATGTAGTATTACATGTAAAAGGGAAGGCACCTGAGGAGCAGCGATACTGAGGGCTGCAGTGCTCAGCTCCATCTTGTCCTGTGATTTCTCTCTGGCCAGACGTGCAGCTTCCTTCACCTCTCGAAAGCGCTCAGCAAACTGCACACAAAAACACATAATACACCATTATATAAGAGGATGATGCAAGTGTATGCAAACATTTCACTGTACAACTAGATTAAGTTGTAGTCTCAGGCATTTTGCTCCTGTGTTTGAGGGATTATGTATTGTTTGTAAAGGGACCAACTACACAAATCAGGCAATTGAGGAAAAGCACACATACCCTAATGAAATATTTCTTTGTAAGTATAAAACCAGACTTTTCAATACTATTTGAGTCAAAGTGCAAAAGTACTTAATGATTAATTATTATTTTGCCAGGTAAATTACTTGCTAATTCAAGATAATTAAAGGTGCCCTGTAATGAAAATCTGGGTATATCAAGGCATAGTAGAGTAATAAGAGATCAGTATATGGAAATGGGCATACTGTGAGCCTCAGGCATAATTTTTTTCTCCTCAATCTCATGTAAATTCGTTGAGTGTAAAACCCCAGCGGACAACAAGCCAATCAGAACACAAAGCAAACTGATACTCACAAGCCACGCCCTCATCATTAGCATGCAAGCCTACTTTGGGTCATTCATCCAGATCTGGTGAGCATCCGCATCATCAAGAGAAAAACTTCTTCTTATATGTAGCTCTGAGATCATTAATCTGCACACCTCAGGTTGCGTTTGATAAGCCAAACATTTTCCAGTGAGAAAACAATTTAGTTTAACTCCCTTAGTTATTTTTAAACTTGTATTTACTTACTATGAGTGTGTTATTTTGAAAACGTGAGCCCAAATCAAATCAGGCCTTTATTTGTCACAAACACTTTCGTATCGTTAAAATGAACCCTCCCCCCCGACCATCACAATTTTCAGGGGAAGACAGGTCACAGGAGGTATATTTTAGAAAAAGGAAGTAAGATACATTTCAGGAGAGGGAAGCCGAAAAAAAATCCCTCTCACCTTGCTCTTGAATTAGGACAGTGTGAGATCAGGGAGAAAAAAAAGCCCCTGCAGTCAAGCACATGAACACACAGACAGACATAACATCCCAGCAGGGGATGGGAACAGGGGATGTGGATATAGACTGATGAGGGTGGGCAGCCATGTGGCCCTGCAGCCAGGGGGCGCTGGTCACAAACCCCCCCAGTGGGTGAAAGCAGATGAAGGATGAGGGGCTAGGTGGTGATTGTCTATCTGTAGATATGCATGTCTGTGTGTGTGTGTAAGCCTGTAGAGTCCAACAGGTGTCCTTGACAGGGAGCAGGAATTTGAGAGTGTCTCCTTATCTTGCTATCCAGGAGAAGTTTTCTCCAGCAGAGGCTGTCTGGCAGAAAAAAAAACTAAAAAAAACAGAGGAGCCGAAAGAGTAGAAAAGTACTTCAACTTTAGGTCAATATCTGCCAATTTCACACATATTTAATGTCCGTCACTGGTCTCCAGGTCTGGCCAAATGTTGTTGCAAAGCCGCTAGTTTCACCCCAAAGTTTTCAAATTTGCGGTCTAGGACCATCGTCTGATTATTAGCGAGCCTACCCATCAGCGTTTCAATCAAGCCGGCCAGCCTGATGGGGGTTTGAGCAGCACTGACCGCTTTCATCAATCGTCGATACCCCAGGGCCTGCATAAGCCCATCAGCAGAAACCATGTAATCAAAGTTCCCAATAGGTAGGCCCACACGGAATCTGCACGCGCACAGAATTCCGCTGATTGTTCGCAGATTTTCCGCAGAATTCCGCAGATTTCTGTAGATTTTTAGCCTATCATTAATTCTGTTTATTTACTTGAGTAAATGTGTAAATCTGAATTTATTCAGTTTTTATTCAGTAATTTATTACTTTTTATTTCATATATTAAGGTTTAAGTTATGATACTCCGCTGGATACTTCCAAAATAATTCTGCAGAAATCCGCAGATTTTTACCAAAATTCTGCGCAGAAATAGCAAAAAACGTCCGCAGATTCCGTCTGGCCCTACCAATAGGTAAATATCTTCAATATCCTCCAGAGACAGAGCAGCCAGGCACACAACGTGCCGTTTCTCCCACCCTTCCATCACGTATCCAGCTGTATACGTCCCCGCAGGACAAGTGGGCTCTCCCAAGCAAAAACTTCTCGTTGAGAAGATGGTGTCAATCGCTTTCAGAGATCAGTTGATCAAATCCATAATTCCTTATTCGTTTTGATAGCAGGGCACAGAGAGCCTCAGAGATAGAATAAGACGAAGACAAGAGGAGCCAGCAAGGAGAGATATGGGACGGAGTGGAAAAAAGTGCGACCGCCTTCACCAAGAGCCAAAGAAAGAACTCAAATTGTTTACTATGTTACTGGGAAACAACTGCATGAGACATGTTCAAAATCGTTTCAGAATGTAAAATGCAGGATATACAGATTACACAAGCATTCCTCTCCACTCTGAAGACGCATAAGGTATGTTTAGTTATGTCTTACGTTAATTTATTGTAATTATTTAGAAATTTGATGTGCATGTTTCAACAAACACATGTAGACTGCTGAATTGTGTCAAATCACTCTGCTCAACTGTCAGCTGTTCATGCAGAAGCTGATACTAAGGGTGCTTTCACACCTGTGAATGGATTCAGTTGTTCCGAAACAGAGATTGAAATTGTTACATTGTTGCTCTTTGCTCTTGGAGCGGTTCGCTTTCACACTGCAAAGTTTCTAAACGGACCAAAAGAGCTAAAACAAGTCACGTGCGAGTAAACTCTCCTCACATTGGTCAGAGTGTCAGGGTTTATTTTGCAGCGTCCCGCTCAGCTGTCAGGAGAGGTGGTGGTTTGGTGGTGATTGACAGGGTGCGCGCGTGCGACGTGTCTGAGGTGAGACGCGGTGGGGAGGGGTGAGAAGGGTGCGCGTCGATGCCTATTTAAGGACCGGGAGGGAGATGCGAGATTACCGGGAGATCATCACTCGTTTGCGGGCATCCGGAGACTCGCGAAACTTCCCGCCATACTCATAATTCTCTCTTCTTATATGCCTATGTATACCTATTACATATCCATAAAACACTGTGATATAACCGCGCTCAGATCGGATCGCTTTCTCACTGCAATCGAACCGCTCCAGGGTTCGTTTCAATCGAGCCGAGACCACCTCACTCAAGCGATCTCGGAGCGATTACTTTGGCGCGGAACAGAGCGCGATTGCCTTGTTCACATATGCCAAACGAACCGCGCTAACTGGGCAAACGAGACACGTTCTGAAACAAAAGTGTAGGTGTGAAAGCACCCTAAGTCCTGCCTGTGTTTTCTCTGACAATATAGCTTCAAATTACAACGCTATACATCTCTATCACTCACTTTCGTCAAGTTTAATTATAATTTAGCCTTTATCCACAACAGATCTGGTGAGCAAAAAAGGTTAACATTACTCTGATGGGTGTTCGTTTGTCCTTGTTCAGCTTAGGGTTGGGTATCGCTGTGTTTTTTTTCGATACCGGTGCCTAATCGATACCGGTGCCAAAACGGTGCCTGAATCGATACTGTTTAGCCACAAAATGATGGTGGATACCTCTACAAAAATATTTTATTTAACAAAATATTTTTAAAAAATCATTTTAATAGAACAATATAATTACAGTTTAAAGTAAACATCAATTCATATTGTATTACATTAATACATTTCCTTTGATCATTTGTTGGTTAGCATGAATTTAAGATTTGCATGATGAAATTACTTTAGCTTACTATTAACCTGTGGGGGGGCGGGCAGGGGCCACGCACTTTTAGGAGCACATTTTAACATTATTGGAAGTGATTTGTGTTCATGCATCACTCTGCAGTCTTCATAAACAAGATCATTAAATAACTTAAACTCAAAAGAATCTTCCTTGTTTATTTATTTGACAAGTAACGTTATACTGGTGTAGAACACATTTCTAACATTCAAGTACACCAAGGCACATTGCTGCACCTGTAAACTTTAACAGGCCTACAGCTGACGTCAATTTATTTTGCCCTCCCATTCATTCACAATAATGTTTCTGAAAACTTTTACAGTGTTTCCTAGAAAATAATTATTCTGGAGTCATAATAAGTCCCATTTCTTATTGTTTATTTCCTGCATTGATAATGACCAAAACACATTGAATGACAGTAAAAAGTAGCAATTTTACCCAATAAATGCGTTAATAATATTAACTGATTTATATATAGTCATTCAAATGAACTTAAAACGATTAAAAACTGCAGCAAACATTTATTTAGGCCCGAACTACAAAACCAAATGTAAAACAATTTTAGTATCAGTTTTGCTTAAGTTGCAGGTTAGTGTTGCAGGAGAGGGGAGTGGTCGCTTTAAGACTTGCTATTTACGGTAGTTGTAGTCCATAGCGAAGTGTATTGTGGGTAGTGTAGTTCGACACGCATTCTGGATGATGCGAGCTCGCTGTGTGCTGTGCTGTGCAGCTGAAGCTGAGGAAGAAAGTTTTACTTGGCTTTGTTTTATGATCACTCAAGTTATTCCACCCGAGAGCTGTTCATAACTAGATAGAATAGACATAGAGATAGAAATGGAGATAGATTGATCTCTGCAGCAGCTGCCGGAGAGCTGCGCGCTGCAGACGCAGCTGGTGTGAAATGCAAACGCCTGCGTGCTGCTTACGCACTGCTTTCGCTTGCGGTGTGAAACAGGCGTAACGTCCTTGCCGCAGCACCGAAATTAGGCACCGAAATTCATACGCTGATTTAATACCGGTACGTACGGTTACCTAGGTACCGGTGCTATAATGGCACCAGGTTTCGGTACCCAACCCTAGTTCAGCATACGTCATGCAATGTGTGTCTCTCTGTCTGTAAGAGCTGCACGTCAAAGCAGAGCTCATTAATATTCACCACACAAAACATATATGGTCATTCATGGAGTATTTTGTGGAGTATTAAGGGAGCATATAAAACCCTTTTGGAGATTTTTTTTTACTTGCTGAAGCCATGTATATAGACATCAGAGAACAATTTAACTTTTTAAACTAATGCAGTATATGGCACCTTTAATTTGAAAACATGTGAAACCACATTGACACGCTCAACCCCATTCAGATCAGGATTTAAAATCAGCGAATCATTTAGACACTCACTCTGAACAGATCAGTTCATTTGTTTACTTGACTCATTTTAAATGGATGACTTGTATTTGATTCAGTGAATTGTTTACTGGGGATTCACTCAGAACGGATCATTAGAATCAGTGATTCATTTACTGGTAGTAAGTAAAGTAATGAGGTAAAAATACTTAGTGCTGTCTACTGTTGGTGTTCAGACCTGGTGCAGCTGCTGCTCGGTGGCGAAGCCGAGACCGTAGACAGTGTTTGCTCTGCTGTCCGCCCACTGACCGAACTTCTGAGACGTCTTCGTGAACGTCATGTTGGGGCTGATAGTGCTGTTGATGATCGCCTGTGAGGTAAAAAAAAAATTAAATGGGGGACCCTTGGATTTGCTATAGATTAGATTAGATTAGATTCAACTTTATTGTCATTACACATGTACAAGTACAATGCAACGAAATGCAGTTTAGGTCTAACCAGCAGTGCAATAGCAGCAAGTGCAGGATACAGGAATAAGTCATAAAGTGCAGTTATAGAAAACTATAGTGATATTTACAGATGGATGTACTATGAACATTACATACAGGTTGGATAAGCTATGAGCAGATTTACAATATATGAATATATGTGCAGGTTGCTATTAATAATCAGTAGTGTGCAGATAGATAAACATGATTACAAGTGTATATGTTACAATATATGAATATATGTACAGGTTGCTATTAATAATCAGTAGTATGCAGATAAATAAGCATGATTACAAGTGTATATGTATAGTGGGTGTGTACATAATTACAAATGTCCATATGCAAAAGAGTCAGTGGGGGGCAGAGTTCAGGAGGGAGACAGCTCTGGGGAAAAAGCTGTTTCTCAGTCTGCTGGTTTTTGTCCGGGGGAGCCTGAAGCGCCTGCCGGAGGGCAGGAGAGAAAACTGTCTGTGAGCAGGGTGAGAGGTGTCCTTCAGAATACTGCGTGCTCGGCGCAAACAGTGTTTCTTCTGGATGTCCTCTATGGCTGGCAGTGTGGTTCCTGTGATGCGTTGGGCAGTTTTCACGCATCACAGGGACCACACTGCCCCAGGGCCCAATGTGTTCTTAATCTAGCCCTGTGTATGAGTGTGTGTGAACGCGAGAATGATGCGACTGAAACTCTGTCATACACCACACCCACCAAAAGGGTTCCCTTGGTAGTGGAAACGCAAGCCTGATGAAGGTGACCCGTACCGACCCGAACCGTACCGTACCACTGAGTGGAAACGAGCCATAAGAAAGCATTTAAGGCCCAACACAACTTATTCTGTCATCTTTATATTTCACAGGGAAGTCAAAATGCTTTCAGACACGTGATTTAAATGACACGGGAGGCCATCTCTCTGCAATTGTTATAAATGTTGGATTAACCTACAAGTTATTAATCAACTGTGATCCATTACAACCCTGTCTGCTACTGTCCACTACTGGGGGTCACATTTCGGTCACAGGCACACACTTTGAGAGCTTTCCTGAATGAATGAATGAATGAATGAATGAATGAAATATGCTGATTTCCACTTAGGCAACCCGCGGTGCTGAAATATCATTGGTTAAAGTGGCACTGGGCAGGTTAAAGAGACCAAAACATAGACAGACGTTCTGGCATGTAACAGACATTTTCAAAGCAGAATATCTGACTTTTCCAGGTAAAAACAATGTTCACTGAGCATGTTTCTGAAATATCTGCAAGCATATGATGCTATTATTGTGCTTTAGAAGAGTTAAAATCCTACATACAGCACCTTTAAATTCAATTCTTGCTAAGCGGCTTCTAAAGTATTGTGAGTGGGTTGTTATGCTGTTGCTATTGAGTTCTTTAAATGCATTAGCAGCTTATTATATGGCATAAATAAGCAATAAGTGCAAGAATTAGAGAAACGTTTGTGATGTAACTGTCTGTAAAGCCTTGTTCACATGTATCAGATTATGAACAGTATTCCCAGCTCAATGGGATGATTTACAAACATTACAGCTATTTATAAATGCAGCATCTCACTCCAAACAGACGACCAGTAGAAGTGCAATGCTGGAAACGGGATTTATGCTCATTTGTACAAACTGACATTATTTAGGATGGTTATCATCACTTTGTATTTGAATACGGTTTGTGTATAACCAAACACAGTCGTGCATATTTACACATACTAAACTGCTATTTAAGGGATAGTTCACCTAAAACTGAACACAAAAGAAGATATTTTGTAAACTGTTAAACCGGTAACCATTGACTTCCATTGTCTTTTTTTCCCCCCTTATATGGATGTCAATAGCTACAGTTTTCTTCAAAAATGTATACATATATCCATACTGCGTCACAAGCTGATCTAAGCAATTTCAAATGGGATAGTTCACCTAAAACTGAACACAAAAGAAGATATTTTGTAAAATGTTAAACCAGTAAACCGGTAACCATTGACTTTCATAGTATTTTTCCCTTATATGGATGTTAACGGATACAGTTTTCTTCAATAATATATACATATATCCAGTGCTTAGTTTGTTAATTGCGAGGTCTTGGAACAGATCGGGGTAACAGATTTGGCATGTTTACTCGAGGATGTAGAGTTGTTGCACACGAAAGTGGAGAGCGGGTGGTCGGGTGTGGGGGTTGGGGGTGGATAGGAGTGCTGCTGCATTGGACGGCGGAGGGGTGTCGCGGATGAAATTGAAGAGGGTTGGGGAGTCGCGGAAGAAAGTGAACAGCGGACGGGGGAGGAGGGCGGTTGAGGAGGGGGATCGGTAAAATGAGGAACCGGATCAGATTCCGGCACAAATTAAGCCCTGCATACATCCATACTGCATAACAAGCTGATCTAAGCAGTTTTAAATAGGATAGTTCACCTAAAAGTGAACACTAAAGAAGATATTTTGTAAAATGTTGGAAACCAGTAACCATTGACTTCCATAGTGTTTTTTTCCCCTCATATGGATGTCAATGGATACAGATTTCTTCAAAAATGTATACATACTGTACATCCATACAGCATCACAAGCTGATCTAAGCAATTTTAAATGGGATAGTTCACCTAAAACTGAACACAAAAGAAGATATTTTGTAAAATGTTGAAAACCGGTAACCATTGACTTCCATAGTGTTTTTTCCCCTCATATGGATGTCAATGGATGGATACAGATTTCTTCAAAAATGTATACATACTGTACATCCATACTGCATCACAAGCTGATCTAAGCAGCTTTAAATAGGATAGTTCACCTAAAACTGAACACAAAAGAAGATATTTTGTAAAATGTTGAAAACCGGTAACCATTGACTTGCAAAGACTTTTTTCCCTCATATGGATGTCATAGCTAGTTTTCTTCAAAAATGTATACATATATCCATACTGCATCACAAGCTGATCTAAGCAGCTTTAAATGGGATAGTTCACCTAAAACTGAACACTAAAGAAGATATTTTGTAAAATGTTGAAAACCGGTAACCATTGACTTGCAAAGACTTTTTTTCCCTCATATGGATGTCATAGCTAGTTTTCTTCAAAAATGTATACATATATCCATACTGCATCACAAGCTGATCTAAGCAGCTTTAAATGGGATAGTTCAACTAAAACTGAACACAAAAGAAGATATTTTGTAAAATGTTGGAAACCAGTAGACCAGTAACCATTTACTTCCATAGTGTTTTTTCCCCTCATATGGATGTCAATGGATACAGATTTCTTCAAAAATGTATACATACTGTACATCCATACAGCATCACAAGCTGATCTAAGCAGCTTTAAATAGGATAGTTCACCTAAAACTGAACACTAAAGAAGATATTTTGTAAAATGTTGGAAACCGGTAACCATTGATTTCCATAGTATTTTTGTTCCCTTATATTGTTGTCAATAGCTACAGTTTTCTTCAAAAAATGTATTCACATATCCAGTGCTTAATTTGACAATTGCGAGTTCCCGGAACAGATCGGGGTAACAGATCCGACACGTTTCCCTAGGGTGTGGAGTTGTCGCGCACGAAAGTGGAGAGCAGGGGGCTTGGGTATGGGGGTGAAGAGCGGGGTAGGGGTCGGGGGATGGATAGGAGTGGAGCTGCATTGGATGGCGGAGGGGTGTCGCGGACGAAAGTGAAGAGGGTTGGGGAGTCACGGAAGAAAGTGAAACTGAACAACAGATGGGGGAGGAAGGCGTTGAGGAGGGGGATTGGTAAAATGAGGTGCCGGATCCAGATCAGGCGTGTTCTGGCACAAATTAAGCCCTGCATATATCTATACTGGATAACTGATCTAAGCAGCTTTAAATGGGATAGTTCACCTAAAACTGAACACAAAAGAAGATATTTTGTAAAATGTTGGAAAACCAGTAACAATTGACTTCCATTGTCTTTTTTTTCCCTCATATGGATGGCAATGGATAGTTTTCTTCAAAAATGTATACATATATCCATACTGCATAACAACCTGATCTAAGTTGCTTTAAAAGGGATAGTTCACCTAAAACTGAAGACAAAAGAAGATATTTTTTTAAATGTTTGAAACCGGTAACCATTGACTTCCATAGTATTCATGTTTTTCTCTCATATGGATGTCAATAGCTACAGTTTTCTTCAAGATATCTTCTTTTGTGTTCAACATAAAGGTTCCATAATTAGGTTAACCATAATTAAGGTTCGGAACCATTGAGTATAAGTAAATAATGAGTGTATTTTCTTTTTTGAACTGTACCTTAAAACATTAGATCAATAATAAATGCAATAATAAATGGGAGTATTTGGTGATGTTAAACATTTTAATACAGTATTTGAATACAGTTTGTGTATAATCAAACACAGTCACATACATATTTATAAATATATCCATACTTTATCACAAGCTGGTATGAGCAGCTTTAAAGGGATAGTTCACCCAAAAATAAACACAAAAGAAGATAGTTCACCTAAAACCTCCCTATCCTCCTTACACTGGCTGCCTGTTCAGTTTCGTATTGAATTTAAAATATTACTTCTCATCTATAAAGCATTAAATAATCGAGCTCCTGTTTATCTAACCAACCTTCTGTCTCGCTACAATCCAACTCGCTCTTTAAGATCTCAAAACTCAGGGCTTCTGGTAGTACCTAGAATAGCAAAGTCGAGTAAAGGAGGTCGAGCCTTCTCCTTTATGGCTCCTACACTCTGGAATAGCCTTCCTGATAATATTCGAGGCTCAGACACACTCTCTCAGTTCAAAACTAGATTAAAGACCTCTCTGTTTAGTAAAGCATACACTCAATGCATCACCTAGCGGGTTTCCACACAAGTTTCTACATCTTGTTTATATACACTATGAACAGCAGCTACGCTAATTATTCTCTTTATT